AGTCGTCTGCGTCCTCTTTCTAGAGTGGTCCTCTTTCTGCCCCTCCTCACAGGCACGTGCTTCAGGCAGACCTTGTAAGCTTCAGCTGTCAGTTGAGCTATTCCCTGTGTGGGAGTTTTGTCGCTTAAGACCGTCTCCCACTGAATGGTTGCAAGGTCTATATTTATTTTCTCCCAGTCGATCCTCTTATTGTTGAAATTGGATTGAATACCCCTTCTCTTGGACCTACTCTACCGTTATTAATATGAGTTCGCACTTCAATGGGCTTGTGGTCTGAGTATGTATTGTCTGATATTGTAATATCTCTGATTAGATTATCATTGTTTGTGAATATCAGGTCCAGCGTGTTTTCATTCCCAGTTGGTTCTGTAATCTGCTGACTGAGCGAGAATTTGATTCCAAGTACCACTATTGGAGTGGTACTTGGTCGAGTTCAGGAGCTCTGTACATGCCAGTTCCTCTTTAATATACAGACCTGCTCCTCCACTTGACCTAATTACTCTGTCGCATCTATATAGATTATAATTTGGGATCCATAGCTCACTATCCATGTAGTCTTTCGTGAGGGTTTCTGTAAATGCACCAAATATTGAGTTCGATTCTATTAGAAGGCCATTTATGAAAAACTTTATTTCTTGATTTTGACTTTAGGTCTTGAATATATGCAAATATGAATGATTTCCAATGTTGACCAGACCACACTGGAAGGTGAAGGGACGACGACGTTTCGGTCCGTCCTGGACCATTCTCAAGTCTAAGTCATTGACTTGAGAATGGTCCAGGACGGACCGAAACAACGTCGTCGTCGGTCTACCGCTCACAGGATGAGTATGGGGTGCACAATAAACTAGCCGCCTTCGGCGGCAACAATCAAATCAAACGTCGTCGTCCTTCACATTCTAGTGTGTGGTCTGGTCAACATACCTCAGCCACGTTATTGCGACTCCTCGTCTGCAACTAATTTCCTATATTGCGTGCCACTTCTGGTGGGCTTTGATAATTCTCCCCCGCTCCACCCTGGTCCAGGGTGTGTTGTTTTGCTAGTGGTTCGTCCAGTGTTGGTAGTTGTGTTGGGCGTTGTGAGGTGTAGTACCTGTGTGGTTATCTTGAGGTTCTCTCGAGATGATTTCGGGGCTTTTTAGTGTCCCCGCGGCCCGGTCCTAGACCAGACCTCCACCCCCAGGAAGCAGCCCGTGACAGCTGACTAACACCCAGGTACCTATTTTACTGCTAGGTAACAGGGGCATAGGGTGAAAGAAACTCTGCCCATTGTTTCTCGCCGGCGCCCGGGATCGAACCCGGGACCACAGGATCACAGTCCAGCGTGCTGTCCGCTCGGCCGACAGGCTCCCAACAGACTCCCTGTGCTTGTTGACTTGTATTTCAGTCTTGTGGGTATCTCCCTCACACTCTGTACTCCACCAATGGTTTTATCTGCCCGAAACGCTATGTGTGGTTTTACAAGAATGTAAAAACATTAATGCTATGGACTCTCATAAACGCAATGTACCTTTTCGTATATAAACAAATAAATAAATAAATATCTGTTCCTCGCTCTTGATACCTGGTTGATGGGGTTCTGGGAGTTCTTCTACTGCCCAAGCCCGGCCCGAGGCCAGGCTTGACTTGTGAGAGTTTGGTCCACCAGGCTGTTGCTTGGAGCGGCCCGCAGGCCCACATATACCTGGTTGATGGGGTTCTGGGAGTTCTTCTACTCCCCAAGCCGGCCCGAGGCCAGGCTTGACTTGTGAGAGTTTGGTCCACCAGGCTGTTGCTTGGAGCGGCCCGCAGGCCCACATACCCACCACAGCCCGGTTGGTCTGGCACTTTATTCTAAAAAAAAAAAAAAAAAAAAAAAGTCTACTTTTCTCTTGAAGATGTCCACGGTTGTTCCGGCAATATTTCTTATAGTCGCTGGGAGGACGTTGAACAACCGCGGACCTCTGATGTTTATACAGTGTTCTCTGATTGTGCCTATGGCACCTCTGCTCTTCACTGGTTCTATTCTACATTTTCTTCCATATCGTTCACTCCAGTACCTTGTTATTTTACTGTGTAGATTTGGGACCTGTCCCTCCAGTATTTTCCACGTGTGTATTATTTGGTATCTCTCTCGTCTTCTTTCTAGTGAGTACATTTGGAGAGCTTTGAGACGATCCCAATAATTTAGGGGCTTTATTGCGTCTATGCATGCCGTATATGTTCTCTGTATTCCCTCTATTTCATCAATCTCTCCTGCTCTGAAGGGGGAAGTGAGTACTGAGCAGTACTCAAGACGGGACAACACAAGTGACTTGAAGAGTACAACCATTGTGATGGGATCCCTGGATTTGTAGGTTCTCGTAATCCATCCTATCATTTTTCTGGCTGTCACAATACTTGCTTGGTTATGCTCCCTAAACGTTAGGTCGTCGGACATCAGTATTCCCAAATCCTTGACATGCTGTTTTCCTACTATGGGCAGATTCGATTGTGTTTTGTATCCTGTATTATGTTTCAGACCCTCATTGTTGCCGTACCTGAGTACCTGGAATTTATCACTGTTAAACATCATGTTATTGTCTGCTGCCCAATCAAAAACTTTGTTAATATCTGCTTGTAGTTTTTCAATGTCTTCAGCAGAGGTAATTTTCGTGCTGATGTTTGTCATCTGCGAAGGACGACACGAAGCTGTGATGTGTATTTTTCTCTATATCTGATATGAGAATAAGGAACAGCAGTGGTGCAAGGACTGTACCCTGAGGTACAGAGCTTTTAACTGCGCTCGGGCTCGATTTTATTTGTTTGACTGTTACTGTGTTCTGTTCGACAGGAAATTGAGTATCCAGCGTCCTTCTTTACCAGTTACTCCCATTGACCTCATTTTGTGAGCTATCACTCCATGGTTACATTTGTCGAATGCCTTTGCAAAGTCTGTGTATACACCATCTGTATTCTGCTTGTCTTCTAATGTCTGTTCTAATCTTCTATGTTCCGCTCTGTTTCTGCCTCTAAACAAAATTCAGTAATATCATATTGATCTTCCCGTCTATAACGCTGTGCATCTCTCACCTGGAATTCCGGTCACTGAAGATTGTAACATTTTGTTTACATTAATTGAAAATGTTCAGAGTTTAGGTTGGAAGTATCTGCACTCTGGTCCACACCGGCATGTATCCCTTCCCAACATGTTCCGGCATGTTCCACCATGCATATAAAAGTGCATTTTTCACCACTGGGCGAGGGAGTGGGGGGGGGGGGGGTTGGTGGGGGGAGGGTGGGGGGGGGTGCTTCACCGTGTCTTCTATTACCCCTTTAAGTCCCCCCACCCCCCCCCCCCCTCCCCACTGCTTCCACCCTCGCCTTCCCCCACCATGAATGATTCAACAGGGAAAGTGTTCACTAATTTACGCCTTAACGCGTGATCTCTTTTGCCGGTGATGATCACAGCTGACACCCCCCCCCCCCATCAGTTATTGTTCTTCCTCTTGGTGTTGTTATCGTCCCCATTACCACCACCAACACCACCGATGACGATGGCAGCATGGCAAGATGGCAGCATGGCAAGATGGCAGCATGGCAAGATGGCAGCATGGCAAGATGGCAGCTGTAAGATAGCAGAAGCAGCAAACAATGACCAAAGTTGTAGACATCCAGGTAGATCATACTACTCTTGGACACGTGGCCAGGAGACCTCACTGGCTACTCTTGGACACGTGGCCAGGAGACCTCACTGGCTACTCTTGGACACGTGGCCAGGAGACCTCACTGGCTACTCTTGGACACGTGGCCAGGAGACCTCACTGGCTACTCTTGGACACGTGGCCAGGAGACCTCACTGGCTACTCTTGGACACGTGGCCAGGAGACCTCACTGGCTACTCTTGGACACGTGGCCAGGAGACCTCACTGGCTACTCTTGGACACGTGGCCAGGAGACCTCACTGACTACTCTTGGACACGTGGCCAGGAGACCTCACTGGCTACTCTTGGACACGTGGCCAGGAGACCTCACTGGCTACTCTTGGACACGTGGCCAGGAGACCTCACTGGCTACTCTTGGACACGTGGCCAGGAGACCTCACTGGCTACTCTTGGACACGTGGCCAGGAGACCTCACTGGCTACTCTTGGACACGTGGCCAGGAGACCTCACTGGCTACTCTTGGACACGTGGCCAGGAGACCTCACTGGCTACTCTTGGACACGTGGCCAGGAGACCTCACTGACTACTCTTGGACACGTGGCCAGGAGACCTCACTGACTACTCTTGGACACGTGGCCAGGAGACCTCACTGGCTACTCTTGGACACGTGGCCAGGAGACCACATTGGCTACTCTTGGACACGTGGCCAGGAGACCTTACTGACTACTCTTGGACACGTGGCCAGGAGACCTCACTGGCTACTCTTGGACACGTGGCCAGGAGACCACATTGGCTACTCTTGGACACGTGGCCAGGAGACCTTACTGACTACTCTTGGACACGTGGCCAGGAGACCTCACTGGCTACTCTTGGACACGTGGCCAGGAGACCACATTGGCTACTCTTGGACACGTGGCCAGGAGACCTTACTGACTACTCTTGGACACGTGGCCAGGAGACCTCACTGGCTACTCTTAGACACGTGGCCAGGAGACCTCACTGACTACTCTTGGACACGTGGCCAGGAGACCTTACTGACTACTCTTGGACACGTGGCCAGGAGACCTCACTGACTACTCTTGGACACGTGGCCAGGAGACCACATTGGCTACTCTTGGACACGTGGCCAGGAGACCACATTGGCTACTCTTGGACACGTGGCCAGGAGACCACATTGGCTACTCTTGGACACGTGGCCAGGAGACCTTACTGACTACTCTTGGACACGTGGCCAGGAGACCTTACTGACTACTCTTGGACACGTGGCCAGGAGACCTCACTGACTACTCTTGGACACGTGGCCAGGAGACCTCACTGGCTACTCTTGGACACGTGGCTGTAACAAACTAGGCTGTTGTAAGAATTATCCAGAGTGGTTTATCGACAAAAGAGAATGGGAAGCTGAGCCGCATGGTGACCTGACCCCCAGGGGAATTCGCGGTGGAAATAACCGACGCTTTGTTCATATCTGCGTAAATGAATCATCCTATAGTATTCAGTAATTTAGAGAAAATTAGCCTTTATTCATTTTGCATTAAAATTGTATTGTATAATAGTACTGGATACAATATCAAGAGTATTCTAATTATTGAGTTTAAGTCACCATCAGTGACGTCACGAATCAGATCTAACTTTTGAGGCGGAGTGACCGGCGGTCATAGGTCATCAGGGGTTGACAGGTCTAATATTTCTCAAAGTTTTAATAACCATTTTTGTGATCGGGAACAGCTGTGCCGTTAGATGTTTGTAATTTAATTCAGTAAAATAATTCAACCAGTCTGGATCAATTAAGTACAACAGAGTTTAATTGTTATAACTTAACCTTGCTAAAGTAACTGGGTAAGCGATGCGGAACAATACAATACTCTGTCTGGGGTAGTCCAGACAAGAAAAAAATCAGTGTGGTCACGGAAGCAGCTGGGATAAGAGGTCAACATCTTACCTCTCCCCAACAAGACCAGCGCAACACCCAGAGCTGTGGTCGCCCAAGGTATAGTTGCTATTGTAAATTATAGGGATAGTCTTCTCATTTGCCATTCAGGTCAAGTAGGGAGTGTTAAATTGATAGGGAGTGAACATATTTAGATTTTGTTTTAGTTTTCGTTTAATAAATTAAATTTGTTATTAATTTGCATTTTATTGTTTCCATGTGTTTTGTGTGTATACTTGTCCTGGTCACGTGGTCCACACGAGGCAGAGTTGCATTGGGCGCCGATTCTAACATCGAATCGGAATTATCATTACCGTGTAATTTATTCCACACTCAAGGTCATCGTTTATAGTGGGGATCAAGCCCCTAGGTTGATTAATTAGCGTGATCGATCCAGACCTCGATCATTGCTCTTGTATTACTGGTCTGGTGGTGGCAGCAGAGGTGACTCTAGGGTTTTGTTCAGAGCTTAGGTCACGTCATACTGGGTGTAGAATCCTAAGTCGGTCAATCGTCTTAGGACCACGTGGCGTGGAGTTGGCTTTGGTAAAAGTTTTGGAGTCCCTTGGTTTAGAAATAAAAGTAAGAATACGGGTAGAGGGAGTAGAAAGAAGGAAGTAAAAAGAGAGAGCAACCCGAACCCGTGTTACAATGGTGCACAGCGGTGGTTTCAACAATTTTGTTTGAAATTGTTGAAAGGCTCACGCGTCTAGCCGTTCGAACACGTGCGCGGATACTAAGGAGACAGCCGCGGGCCAGGATTAGCAGTGCGCCCCACAAGTGCGTTTGAGTGGGGATTGGCGAATCTTGGGTCATGCGGGCTGATATGATTAAGGTTTAGTTAGTAAGATTAGGCTGTTAAAATAGATTTATTGAAAAGGAGACCGCTCCGAGTTGATTGGACTGGGTACCATACTCGACCCATTGCAATTAATTCAGAGGTGTTGGGAGCCACCATACTCTCAACAGCAGTTCCTTGAGGGCTGTCGGGGGCGGATATATCTGTGGGACGCCAGTAGATAGTCCGAGGGCGTTATTAGACGACCCAAAACGCTAAGGAAAAACGTAATCCGTGAAGGGCGTTGCGGCCTCCGAGGGACGGACTAGTAACCTACCTAGCAGCGATTCAACAACTAAGTGATCGCACACTTAGTGGAGGTTGAGTCGTCCCTAGTCATAATTGTTGCTGAAAGCTGCGTGTCGCTCTGTTGGAACCTAGATGGTGTGGCCTCTAGGCTAGGTGTGGTACGGCGAGCCGGTAGGAACAATTATAAGTTTAAGTCGAGTGCATTTTTGAATTAAGTATACTTAAATTTATAAAGTAATTTCCGTTTATTTGCGTTGTTCTAGATTAATTTTTTCCCCTAAATTCAATCCCCGGTTAAAATTTTTCCCAAGTGTTTAGCATTTTCTTGCATATTAGGCTAAGTGCGTACGTTAAGTTTTGTTATTCCCTGTTCTATTAGTCTAAGTCAGAGGCGTTGTTGCTAGAGTGTAGTTAATCCTCTGGACTTAGGGCTATATGTCGGTCACGATAGATAAGTGAAGGAGTTTAAGGGATAGTAAGTTGCGTGTAAATGCTTAATAGAGTCCGTGGTATATTTCTAAGTATTTTGGGATAAGTTTTCGGCTAAGTCGATGTCGGAAACTCGTTAACTAATTAATTTGTATTCGTGGGTCACGTGTATGATCTGGGCGTCATTAGGATTCTCCAGTCGATGCGAGTGATATTTTCTAGTTTTTACCAGTAAGACGGTAGAATTGTGTTTGTAGACTTAGAATTCTGTTTTCAGTAGAAACGTAGGTGGAAAATTTTCTAAGTCCAGCTTGGGCTAGAATCTGACTTTTTGGCGGAAATTCTAATTTTTCATGTTTCGTGTATATTCTGGGGCCAGTATTACTCTCTAGTGCGCGCAAGGGACGTAATTCTGTTCGTAAAACATTAAACAGTGATAATTACATTTTTGCCGAATTTAGTTATTTTTCGAGAAAATCGTGTTGTAATTTTGTCAGAGTCCATTGGAGGTGAAAATCTCGGATTTTGACGAAAATTCGAATTAGTGAGTGTTGAAACCGCCCGAAGTGTCAGTATTGTTCTGTATACAACGTCAGTAGTAAATAATAACGTATTTATATCTGGGAACGAGAAACCCAATTTTTGTGAATTAAAGGAGTTTTGTGATATTTGGGGTGATAGAATATTTTTCCCTCGGAGTCAGGAAAATTGGCAGAGTCCAGCAATTGAGTAAAAACGCAGTTTTTGATAAAAATTCAATTTTTAGTAAGCATTTATAGGTCCTGGGTGTCTATATTAATCGCTAGAGCGGTTTATTAACGTAAAACTAGTTATTTTCCTTCAGAACAAAAATTTTGATTTTTCAGCGTTTAAGCGAAAAAGCGCGGGACTTAAGTTTTTTCAGCGCAGCTGGTCCCGCTCCATCAGTCATCAGTGGCCACGCTGCTCACTTCAAGCGTGTTTAGTATTCAAGTACAGTAAATATTCTTTATTAATCCATCACGAGTGCTGCGCGTTAGTTGCGTTATCATTTAAATTGTTTTATATAAATTAGATTCTTTAATTTTTTTTAACGTAAAGGACTTAGGTTTCAGCAATAGAACTGCGGGATATTTCACGGTCAGACACGAGTGCGGGGCAGACACTCATTCATTGGATTCACTTCAGCGATTCTCTCGATAAATCGTTGTATTTCCTATTTTGGGAATTTAGTAGTTTTCTCTTAGAAAAAGAGTTGTGATTTTTTTTTATTGGTGTAAGATCACGGTTGTAGTGAGTCCGGGTCGAGGGTGTACTAAAGGGTAGTTTAGAAGAGACGTGGCACACCAGGAATCACAGAAAATGTTTAACCCTGATAATGACCAGTCAGTAGGGACCAGTGGGAATGGGAGTGTAGAGGATAGAACCTCTTCCGACACCACTGGGGATCGCTCAGGTAGCGATACTATTATTGACATGAGTGGGGAGTCTTGCGAGGAGTCGTCCCATGAGTGGGGAGAGCCGTCTTGGGTTCCCCCAC